CCCAGTTAAATTATCCCACCTCCCCAGCTGATCACACACAACCATCATTAACATGTGTGTGTTTCTCTTTGTGTGTGTGTGTGTGTGTGTGTGTTTCTCTTTGTGTGTGTGTGTGTGTGTGTGTGTGTGTGTGTGTGTGTGTCTGTCTGTGTGTGTGTGTGTGTGTGTGTGTGTGTTTCCTTTGTGTGTGTGTGTGTGTCTGTGTGTGTGTGTGTGTGTGTGTCTGTCTGTCTGTGTGTGTGTGTGTTTCTCTTTGTGTGTATGTGTGTGTATGTGTGTGTGTTAACACTGAATGCTAACATTTAGCTTTGTGTTTCAGGTCTCTTTCCCGCCATCTTGAACTTGGCGAGTAACGCTGTGATCAGCAGTAACGCCACGTGTGGAGATTCAGGACCAGAAGTTTACTGTAAACTGGTTGAACACGTTCCAGGGCGACGGATCAAGAACCCACACTGCCCAAAGTGTGACGCCGACTCAGTCCTGACCAAAGGTACCAAACCAGACCCACAACACACCGTCCCCTGCAGCCAGAGTTCACTTTAAGTTAAAGTCCACTTTGTGGGAGTTGAGGATGAAGTTCCATCTATTAGGGTTAGGCGTCAGGGGTTAGGGGTCAGGGTAAACCCTGAGGCAGAGCTCAGGAAACCAGGATGGAACAAAACAGGTCCAAAATAAAAATGGAGCGAGTTGTGGAGCAGGTATGTCGACAAGAGGAAGTTGTAAAGTGCACAAAGGCTCACACTAAACAGGGACAGTGAATGAACTGGTTAGGGTTAGAAAAGAGAAGACTTAGAGGGACCCGTGAGGTCTGGGGTAGTCCTGTACTGCCATCTCCCCAAGAACCTAAAACAGATGGGGACTCAATGTGCCCATTGTGTTCAGAGATACTTTAGACATATTCTGTCAGGTTATAAGATCTGTTACAAACATGCTGACATAAACAGGTGATGGGTTAGGGAGGAATAAGTAAGAAAGGGGGAGGCAGGAGTCAGGCCCCCCAAAGGAGGCAGGGAGTCATTAGGAGTCAGGCCCCCTAAAGGAGCAGGAGTCATTAGGAGTCAGGCCCCATAAAGGAGGCAGAAGTCAGGCCCCCTAAAGGAGCAGGAGTCAAGCCCCCTAAAGGATAGGAGTCATAAGGAGTCAGGTCCCATAAAGGAGGCAGAAGTCAGGCCCCCTAAAGGACAGGAGTCATTAGGAGTCAGGCCCCCCAAAGGACAGGAGTCATTAGGAGTCAGGCCCCCCAAAGGACAGGAGTCATTAGGAGTCAGGCCCCCTAAAGGACAGTAGTCATTAGGAGTCAGGCCCCCTAAAGGACAGGAGTCATTAGGAGTCAGGCCCCCCAAAGGACAGGAGTCATTAGGAGTCAGGCCCCCCAAAGGACAGGAGTCATTAGGAGTCAGGCCCCCTAAAGGACAGTAGTCATTAGGAGTCAGCAGGTAAGTGGACAGTTTATTTTGTAGTACTGTTGATCCCCTGAGAGGACATTGTGGAGGTTTGGGGGCAGGAGTAAAACAGGGAGACTGGCACCTCTCTAGCTACCAGACCAATTTCCAGACTCGATCCAGTGAACCTCTGGTTCTCAACCCAATCCCCTACAGACTGAGCTGCTGCTGCCCCAATAGGACAGATCATATCAGCGTTGTTACCTGCAGCTAACGTGTACTGATCCTGGGTCTGATTAAGGGGGTATGCTGTTTGGGTTCTAGAACCACTAAGGGCCATGTGGTAGGGTGTTTGACTAAAGGCCATGTTACAGGGTATATACCTTTAATTTAGACCAGTACTCACAGTACTTTTGACCAGTACTCACAGTGCTTTAGACCAGTACTCACAGTACCTTAGACCAGTACTCACAGTGCTTTAGACCAGTACTCACAGTACTTTAGACCAGTACTCACAGTGCTTTAGACCAGTACTCACAGTACCTTAGACCAGTACTCACAGTGCTTTAGACCAGTACTCACAGTACCTTAGACCAGTACTCACAGTGCTTTAGACCAGTACTCACAGTACCTTAGACCAGTACTCACAGTGCTTTAGACCAGTACTCACAGTACTTTTGACCAGTACTCACAGTGCTTTAGACCAGTACTCACAGTACCTTAGACCAGTACTCACAGTGCTTTAGACCAGTACTCACAGTACCTTAGACCAGTACTCACAGTGCTTTAGACAAGTACTCACAGTACTTTTGACCAGTACTCACAGTGCTTTAGACCAGTACTCACAGTACTTTAGACCAGTACTCACAATACTTTACAGAAGTATAACAAATATTAGTTGTATTTTTAATAAGGCTACTTTTTTGTGTTGTTCAGAGCGTCATCCAATCACAAACGCCATCGATGGAACCAATCAGTGGTGGCAGAGTCCGAGTATCAAAAATGGACAGCAGTTTCACTGGGTCTCCATCACACTGGATCTGAAACAGGTAACACATGTGTACACACACTGGACCTGAAGGTAAAATAATATTCATATGTTTCTGATTTTAGATGTACTTTATTAATCCTGAAACAGGAAATTTAATTTTTGTTAACGTATTTCTCTGAGAGAGAAATCTGAATCTGAATCTGTTTTTAAAGGAAGACCTGAGCGTAGCGTTAGTTCAGGCAGGCCACGGAGTCACACTCTGTTATCATGCCAGAGTTTCAGTAACAGCTGATCTCATGCAAGCCGCATCAGCTGATGGTCAGCTTATTTGCCTGAAAGCATCCTATTGGCTAAACAGTACCAGGTAAAAACAGAACAGGTGAAGGTGATGACTGTTTCCTTTTTGTTCAGATCTTTCAGGTGGCTTACATCATCATCAAGGCCGCCAACTCTCCCCGACCAGGTGAGACCTTTCTGTCTGTTTGACCTGTCTGTCTCTCTGATCTGGCTGTCTCTCTCTCTATTGGACCAGCCAGGCTGACGTGTCAAATTCAAATTCAAATGGCTTTATTTGAATGACGTTTGGGTTAAACATGTTGCCAAAGCAAAATATACAATACACATTATAATCATTTACATATGAAATTAAATAATTAAGAAAAATACAATTACATAAAAGGGTAATGAAAATTATTTACAGATGAGTAAACATGTCTTATATTGTGACCAGACATGTATTGTGACATGAAGAACCTTGAATATAAATAACTTCCATAGAACCGTCTCTCACTCGATGACATGCAGACACATTCTGCTGATATCTCTACAGCTCTCTTCTCCCAGAGTGATTCTCATCTGTTCCTCTTTAGGGAGGGAAAGAAAGCAGGGGATTCGATCATTAAATCTGGGAAAGAAGGTGTCTCTAATGTCTTTATATTTGGGGCATTTCTGAACTGTCTCTCTGACCTGACCTGACCTGTCTCTCTGTCAGGCAATTGGATCCTGGAGCGCTCAATGGATGGTTTGACCTTTGAACCTTGGCAGTTTTATGCTGTCAGTGATTCTGAGTGTTTGACTCATTACAACGTGACTCCTAGACTCGGGTCACCCACCTTCAAGGGTGACACGGAGGTCATCTGCACGTCTTTCTACTCCAAACTGGACCCTCTGGAACACGGAGAGGTGAGACAGGCATTCTGTCCGTCTGTCTGTCCTGAATGTGTTTCTTAACCTTTGTCTCTCTGTCTCTCTCAGTTCAATTCAAAAGGGCTTTTGGCATGAGAAACAGACGTTTACATTGCCAATGTTAAAATCAATATAAAGTACTCTACCTATTTCTGACCTGTCTCTCTCTCTCTCTCTCTCACCTGTCTCTCACTTGTCTCTCTCCCTCTCACCTGTCTCTATTTTAACTGTTTCTCACTCAGATCCACACCTCCCTGATTAACGGGCGACCTGGAGCTGATGATACGACCCCCGAACTCTTGAACTTCACTTCGGCTCGTTACATCAGACTGAGGCTTCAGCGAATCAGGACGCTAAACGCTGACCTAATGACACTGATCAGCAGGGACCCCAAACAAATTGACCCCATTGTTACCCGGAGGGTGAGACAGGCTTTCAGAGAGACACACAGCTCTTAATGTTTGTGTGATCAACATGATGCATAATTCAATGTTTGTGTTTTTTTAGTATTATTACTCAATCAAGGACATCTCTGTGGGCGGGATGTGTATCTGTTATGGCCACGCCCAGAGCTGCCCATTGGACCCTGTTAGCAAGGTAACCACAACCTGCTTTACCTGTGTGTTTACCTTAGAAGGTAAACATCTTGGTTTACTTTAACCTGAGTTTGTGTGTGTGTGTTTCCAGAAGCTGCAGTGTGTGTGTGAGCACAACACCTGTGGAGAGAACTGTAATGAGTGTTGCCCTGGTTACCACCAGCAGCCATGGCAACCAGGAACCATCTCTGAGGGGAATACATGTGAACGTAAGAAACATCTGTCTGTCTCTTCCCTGTCTGAATCACAGCTGTCTGTGTCCACCTGTCTGTCTCTCACCTGTCTGTCTCTCACCTCTCTGTGTCGCTCACCTGTTTGTCTTTCAGAGTGTAATTGTCACAACAAAGCTGTCAACTGTTTCTACAATCAGACCGTCTCTGACCTCTCACTGAGTTTAAACTCTCGCGGCGCTCGGCGAGGAGGCGGAGTCTGTATCAACTGTCAACAGAACACTGCTGGCATCAACTGTGAGAACTGTTCTGATGGATTTTACAGACCAACTGAGGTAGTAAGAACCAGTGCCTGTACTACTACACACCTGTACTGTACTCAGAACTACTACCTGTACTACTACACACCTGTACTGTACTCAGAACTACATACTGATATATGATATACACCTCATGGTCTTACTTTTAATTTAGAATGGTATTAATAACTTGAACTGACAATGACATCATTTTTCCAAGCATGTCTTTTTCTTGTGTATGTTTGTAGGTCTCTCCATATTCAGACTCTCCGTGTGTGGAGTGTAACTGTGATCTAAAAGGATCCGAGTCTTCAGTCTGCACCAGAGATGACACACAACCAGGTTTTTATTATGGTCAATTTAACAGTTATCGTTACAATGCTCTACACAGCAGCTTGATCATATCTCTGACATATTCTTCCTTTAACGTTTAGTTTGTTTAGTTGGTTCTAAGAGTGTGTGTTTGTGTGCCTGTGTGTGTGTGCCTGTGTGTGTGTGTGTGTGTGTGTGTGTGCGTGTGTGTGCATGAGCAGGTGTCTCAACAGGTCAGTGTGTGTGTAAGGAGGGTTTTACAGGTCGACAGTGTGATCGTTGTGCATTTGGATACAGAGATTTTCCTCAATGTGTTCGCTGTGAGTGCAACCTCTCTGGGAGCATCAACTCAGACCCCTGCAGCCCCTGCATCTGCAAGGTAATAACACTGACTTTTTTAATTATATAACTGTCCGTAATGGCACCACTGTTAGGAATCTAGGAATTCTTTTTGATCAAGATATGTCCTTTAACTTGCACATAAAACAAATTTCAAGAACAGCCTATTTTCACCTTCGTAATATATCCAAGATCACAAATATCCTGTCACAAAATGATGCAGAAAAACTAGTTCATGCATTTGTTACCTCCAGGTTGGATTATTGTAATTCTCTTTTGTCAGGGTGCTCTGGCAAGTCTCTAAAGACTCTTCAACTGGTCCAGAAAGCTGCAGCTCGTGTACTGACTAGAACTAAGAAAAGGGACCACATTACTCCTGTGTTGGCTTCTCTGAACTGGCTCCCTATACAATCTAGAATAGAATTCAAGATCCTTCTTCTCACTTATAAAGCTCTAAATGGCCAGGCACCATTTTATCTTAAGGAGCTACTAGTACCATACTGTCCCTCGAGAACATTACGATCCTAGAATGCAGGCCTACTCGTGGTACCTACGGTCTCTAAATGTACTATGGGAGGTAGAGCCTTCAGTTATCAGGCCTGCTCGTGGTATCTACGGTCTCTAAATGTACTATGGGAGGTAGAGCCTTCAGTTATCAGGCCTGCTCGTGGTACCTACGGTCTCTAAATGTACTATGGGAGGTAGAGCCTTCAGTTATTAGGTTCCTCTCCTCTGGAATCATCTACCAGTCAGGATGCGGGAGGCAGACACAGTCTGTACTTTCAAGAATAGGCTGAAAACGTACCATTGTGATAAATCTTGTAGTAAGGGCTGGTACAGGTATTGACCAGCTCCTAGTTATGCTGCTATAAACTTAGACTGCTGGACCTGGCCCCCTTGAGCTCCTCTCTCTCTCTCTTTCTCTCTTGACACTTTTGCTTGCTCATGGTCAGTTTAAATAGGTCTCTATAATAATGTTAAAAAGAGTATGGACTCACCTATCCTCTCCTCCTCAGGTCAATGTGATGGGAGCTCACTGTGATCTGTGTAAACCGGGTTACTATGACCTACAGGACAGTAATCCGCTCGGCTGCACCGACTGTTTCTGTTTTGGTGTGTCGGATGTCTGTGAGAGCTCTGCCTGGTTGACAGCTCAGGTAAACCATAGACACACATTTGAACAGTTAACACACACCTGTATTCAAACAAATGGTTTTATTGTAAAATAATTTATTATTTTACATTTTTTTAGGTTCACCAGGCAGATGCTTTGCTTCGTCCCTCTCAGTCCCCTTACATCTCCCCTACCATACATGGCAATGACCTCCCCATCCCCGTCAACATCTCCTCAGGCCACACCCACCTAGAAGTGCTGTCGTGGACAGCACCTAAGCATTTCCTTGGCAACAAGGTTTGCAACTATTTCTATTTAGTCATTATGCTATCAATTAGTAAACAGCAACCTTACTGTCTGTGTTCATATTTGTCTACCATTCTGTCTTTCTGTCTACCTGTCTGTTTACCTTACGGCCCGTCTGTCTCTAGCTCGTATCCTATGGAGGTTTCTTGAACTTCTCTGTGGTTTATGATGTCCCGTTGGACAATGAAGACCATTCTCTCCCTGCCCACTGTGACATCATCATTGAGGTGAGAAAAAATGTCTAAAATAAGCTGCTATCTGGTAAATCAAAACATGACATCAAAGCCTTCATAGTGTCTTTATGGAATACAACACTCTGTTTCTCTCTTTTGTTTCCAGGGTAACAGTCAGGCTGTTCATCTCTCACTTCCTGTCCTCCTGGTTCTCTCTCCTCTGGCTGAGCGCTCAGTTGCTTTAACAATGACACCACGGCAGTTTGTGAAAGTTGAGATGGGCCACCGCGTTACTCGTGATGACCTGCTGTCAGTACTTGCTGATGTGACCACACTGAAGGTCAAAATTCACGTGAATGCCTCCACTGATGGGCCGATATAGTAAGAATAAAATCTTCAGATTACATCCAGAAAACTAAAACTATCTGTTCCCATCTGATCCCCCACTTCAAGACGACTGATGCAGACTCCATCTTTTCAGGGGGTTCCAGGGTACAGTAGGGTTATGGGGTAGAATAGGCTATACTGGGGGTATGGGATATGCAGGGATATGGGGTGCACTTGGAGTATGGGGTACACTAGAGGTATTGAATGCTGTGTAAGGGGTACACTAGGAGTATGGGTTACAATGGAAGTGATGGCGATAATTGGGTTCTGTTTTTTTTTTCACACTCTGACTTCCAGGGAGCTCCAAGGCATTAAGATTCCCTCTGATCAGTCTGGGGTCATGTTTCCCTCACTTCTTCACTAACAGTCACCTGTTTCAATCAATCAATCAATCAATTTTTATTTGTATTTGTATAGCGTCAACTCATAACAAGTGTTGTCTCAAGACACTTTACAAAAAGCAGGTAAATACCTTACTCTTTGTCTGTTAACATTACAAAAGAGCAGGTAAAAAGACCTTACTCATTGTTATGTTACAAAAAGCAGGTAAAAGACCTTACTTATTGCTATATTACAAAGACCCGGCCTATCCATCATGAGCACTTTAGCAAAGCAGCAAAAGTTACAGTGGTAAGAAAAAACTTTCTTATTAAAAGGCAGAAATCTTCAGCTGGATCCCCGGCTCATGATGAAACAACCTTCGCAGGTCTAGACTGCACCGGGCTTGGAAAGGGATAGGGGGAGAGATGGGATAAGCTGCAGGAAGAGGGATAGGGAGCAAGGGGGTGGGGGGAGGCAAGCCGTCCATCAACAATCCGGTGGGGAGGGGGGGGGGGTTGTTCTGGCAGGCCGTCAACCAACGATCTCGGGGAGCCTAAGAGAGCTCAAGAGCTCTCAGGAAAGTAGGTGGTTAGTGACTGAGATTTACAGATAGATACATGCAGTAATATGATGTACTGTATATGCACAGAGAGAGAGAGAGAGAGAGAGAGAGAGAGAGAGAGAGAGAGAGAGAGAGAGAGAGAGGAGCTCAAGGTGCCAGTTCCCCTGGTAGTCTAAGCCTATAGCAGCATAACTAAGAGCTGGTCTACACCAGCACTAACTATAAGATTTATCAAAAAGGAAAGTTCTATTCTTAAAAATACAGACTGTGTCTGCCTCCCGGACCCCGGCTGGAAGATGATTCCAGAGGAGAGGAGCCTGATAACTGAAGGCTTTACCCCCCATAGTACACTTAGAGACTGTAGGTACCACGAGTAGGCCTGCATTCTGGGACTGTAATGTTCTCGAGGGACAGTACGGCACTATTTAGAGCTTTGTAAGTGAGAAGAAGGATCTTGAATTCTATTCTAGACTGTATAGGGAGCCAGTTCAGAGAAGCCAACACATGAATAATGTGGTCCCTTTTCCTGGTTCTGGTCAGTACACGAGCTGCAGCGTTCTGGACTAGTTGTAGAGTCTTTAGAGACTTACCAGAGCACCCTGACAAAAGAGAGTTACAATAATCCAACCTGGAGGTAACAAATGCATGAACTAGTTTTTCTGCATCATTTTGTGACAGGATATTCCTGATCTTGGATATATTATGTTTACCATCTTTTACCTATCTTTCAGTCTTAGTTACCTGTCTCTGGATGTCGCTGACCCGATCTCCATTTCTGGTGATCAGGCGGTTGCTGTGGAGATGTGTGAGTGTCCATGGGGATACAGTGGCACTTCCTGTGAGGTCAGAAGTTAACTTCATTCAGCTTCCTGTTTGGATTCTTCCCTTTTTACTGTTAGTCACCTGCATACTGTGATGAGTATTTTTTTATATGCATTTCTGATTGTGTATTTCTGTGTTGCAGGCATGTCTCCCTGGTTTTTTCAGAGTGGGAGGAGTTTTGTTTGGAGGGAACTGTCTGCCGTGTGAGTGTAATGACCACGCCACCGAGTGTGATAGCAACGGAGTCTGTTTGGTCAGTCAGTAATTTATATTTATATTTTTGGGTCATTTTGTCATTTATACAGAGAGCTATATTTTATGAGTTTGGTTCGTTAATGATGAAAACATGTATGCATTTATATACGTTTAAACACAATTGTAATGTTGACAAGAGTTTCTCACACTGTTACCATGGAAATTGTCCCTCAGGGTTGTACCCATAATACCACCGGTCCTCACTGTGATCAGTGTCTTCCTGGTTTCTACGGCGACCCCTCAGAGGGAACAGCTGATGACTGTCTGGTGTGTGCGTGTCCTCTAATGTCCAACAGGTTTGTTTTGTGTTTAGATCCAAATTTAAAAAATACATTTTTTAAACTTATGGACAGACTTTAAATATGTCTGTGTTCTTCAGTTTCAGTCCCACCTGTGTGATGGAGCAGTCTGGACAGGTGTTCTGTGACCGGTGTCAGGTGGGATACACAGGAAACTCCTGTGAAAGGTAAGGATGATTGACAGACTCATCATCCAATCAGACAAAGCCATCCCTCTGTAATGCCTGTCTAATTGTGTCATTAGGTGTGCCAGTGGTTTCTATGGAAACCCACAGGCAGTGGGTGGGGCCTGTGTCCGCTGTGAGTGTAACGGTAACGTAGACATCAGGGAGGCGGGGCACTGTGACACTCTCACTGGAGAATGCTTGCGTTGCCTAGGCAACACTGGTGGAAGACACTGCGAGGTCTGTCAACATGGTTACTATGGAGACGCTGTGCACGCTAAGGACTGTCAAGGTGATGCACCCACACACACACACACACACACACACACACACATCACCATCAGGGCCTCACATCTCTCTTATCTAAACCATGATGGTTTAATACACAGTTCCTCCAGTGGTCATTGGTGGTACTGTAGCTAATGAGGACTGTGTCTGTGATAAACTGAGTCTTGGAGCAGGGCAGCCTGCTGACTGCAGATTTAAAAGCTACCAGCTGATTGGCCACTTCAGTTGTTTCAGTTTCCTGTTTAAAGCTGTTGGAATGTTGATCCGGATTAGACCTGAACTTTGACCTCTGTTCCTCGATGTTCTGCAGACACATGACTCTGTGTGTGTTTGTGCTGCCACATAATGATACATCTTCAAACTGTTGATGGAACAACAACAACAGCCTTATGTGGAGTGGGCGTGGCTTTCTGTCTGACTGACAATGGGTGGGACTTTTTATTTGTTTCTTAGAGTGTAGCTGTGATGTCAACAACGCCCTCTCCAGCGTGTGTGATGTCACAACAGGTCAGTGTTTGTGTAAAGAGAACGTGAAAGGACGCACCTGTGACCGCTGCCAGGTGAAACTCTCTCTCCCTCACACACTCACACACACACTCACACACACACACACACACACACACACACACACACACACTCACTCACTCACACACTCACTCACTCACTCACTCACACACACACACACACACACACACACACACACACACACACACACACAAACCCGTTCATGTGATTAGATTCAAACTGAAACTGTTTATATCATTTTATTTCTTTTACTGATTTATTTATTATTATAATAATATTATTGTAACGGTGCTTCTTGGATGATGTTGATTATCCTCGGTTGTCTTGCCGTTAACTATAATACTAAACATACTTAATTAAATATATATATTCGGGTAAAAGCACAGGAACAACTTCTGCTGTGCGTGTCTGTAACCGAGCATGACATATCCAGACTGCCCCAACAAACAACAGCAACACCTCACTTGTCTTAAAGCAATATCACTCCTCAAACCGTAACCATGGGTAACCTTAAAGGCATAGTGCATCATATCAAACAGATACTCTTGTACAGTACAAATTGTAAATATAAATGAAATTAGCATTAAATCAAATAATGTATATTATCTCAACCTAAGAAAAATAAAGATCTATAAAATAAAACTTCCCAAAAATAAATTTCATTTCCATCTTACATTATTATTATTATATTATATATTTATTTACTGACTCGTTCAGTTATGGTATTTATATATTTATTTATTTATTACTTATTTCATAAATACCTTTCATGTTGTGTACTGCTTAATTTATTCATTTTTATTCCTCTTTTTTTTTTTAGTCAGGGTTTTTCGGCCTGGAGAGTGGGCGGGGCTGTCAGGCATGTGGCTGCAGCCAATCAGTATCTCTGTCTGAGTCATGTGATGAAGAGGGGCGATGCCAGTGTGTGGTGGGTGTAGCGGGAGACAAGTGTGACCGCTGTAGTCATGGTTACTTTGGTTTTCATACCAACGGCTGTACAGGTACTTACACAGAAAACATAAGACCCCAACCTTGCTGCTGATTGGTTGAATCTGATCTGATTAGATGTGATGTTTCTTCCTCCCAGCATGCACCTGTAATCACACTGGTGGAAACTGTCACATTGACAGTGGCAGGTGCATCTGCCCCGCCCACACACAGGGAGACACCTGCGAAAGGTGTGAGACAGGATACTGGGGTCGCAACCTCGTCACCGGATGCAAGGTACACAAAAGTACACAAACAATTTCACATTTACACACAACTACACGTAAAAGTACACACAATAGAACACACACACATACACAACTACACACACACAGTTTCACACTAACACGCACACATACACAACTACACACACACAGCTACACACACACACACACAGTTTTACACTAACACACACACACACAGCTACACAGACATACACACACGCACACACAGCCACACACACAGCCACACACACACACACACACACACACACACACACACACACACACACACACAGTTTCACATTAACACACACACACACACACAGCCACACACACACACACAATTTCACATTAACACACACACACATACACGCACACACAGACAGCTACACACACACACACACACACACACACACACACATTTTCACATTAACACACACGTACACACACAGACAGCCCCACACACACACACACACACACACAGACAGCCACACACACACACACACAGACAGCCACACACACACACACACACACAATTTCACATTAACACACACACACACACACACACACACACAGCCACACACACACACACACACAGTTTCACATTAACACACACACACACACACACACACAGTTTCACATTAACACACACACACACACACACACAGCCACACACACACACACACACACACACACACACACAGTTTCACATTAACACACACACACACACACACACACACAGTTTCACACACACACACACATACACAGTTTCACACACACACACAGTTTCACACACACACACACACACACACACACACACATACACACACACACACAGTTTCACACACACACACACACACACACACACACACACACACACACACACACACACACAGTTTCACATCATAAACACACACACACACACACACACACACACACAGGGACACACTAACCTCATGTTGTTTTTCCAGCCATGCAGTTGCAGCGCAGCAGGAAGCTCCACCCCCCAGTGTGATCTGACCAATGGACAGTGTCGCTGCAAAGAGGGCTTCACTGGCAGGTCATGTGATCAGTGTTCACCTGGTTACTATGGTTACCCGAAGTGCTTAGAATGTGGCTGCGAAATGGCGGGAACAGATGAGAAGTTTTGCAACAAAACTCTCGGAGTGTGTGACTGTGGACACACGGGAAAGTGTGTGTGCAAGGTAACACAATGTGTGTGTGTGTGTGTGTGTGTGTGTGTGTGTGTGTTTAATGCAGGATTATGATGCATTCAGAATGAAAAGCTGTTCAAAAGTGACTGTGCACATCACTAGGTATCCCAGCATGCTTTGCACAGGAAATCGGCCACTTTGAATGGACATGAATGAGGGCTGACTGGAAGGCTCTGAGCCGTAAAAAACATGTTTGGTTGAGTTTATTAGATTCCCTGTTAACAACAACAACAACAACATCTTAAAAACACAAACAGGTGGGCGTGGCCGGGCGGCGCTGTGAGGAGTGCGTTTCTGGTTGGTTCGCTCTGTCAGCTGACGGCTGCTTACCATGTTTCTGTTCAGGACTCAGCAGAGACTGTGAGGAGCAGGGAGGCCTCTACAGAGTACCTGTGAGTACACACCTTACTACACACCTTACTACACACCTTACTACACACCTTCAGTACACACCTTACTACACACCTTACTACACACCTTACTACACACCTTACTACACACCTTCACTACACACCTTACTACACACCTTACTACACACCTTACTACACACCTTACTACACACCTTACTACACACCTTACTACACACCTTACTACACACCTTACTACACACCTTACTACACACCTTACTACACACCTTACTACACACCTTACTACACACCTTACTACACACCTTACTACACACCTTACTACACACCTTACTACACACCTTACTACACACCTTACTACACACCTTACTACACACCTTACTACACACCTTACTACACACCTTACTACACACCTTACTACACACCTTACTACACACCTTACTACACACCTTACTACACACCTTACTACACACCTTACTACACACCTTACTACACACCTTACTACACACCTTACTACACACCTTACTACACACCTTCACTACACACCTTACTACACACCTTACTACACACCTTACTACACACCTTACTACACACCTTACTACACACCTTACTACACACCTTACTACACACCTTACTACACACCTTACTACACACCTTACTACACACCTTACTACACACCTTACTACACACCTTCTACACACCTTACTACACACCTTACTACACACCTTACTACACACCTTACTACACACCTTCAGTACACACCTTACTACACACCTTACTACACACCTTACTACACACCTTACTACACACCTTACACACCTTACTACACACCTTACTACACACCTTACTACACACCTTACTACACACCTTACACACCTTACACACCTTACTACACACCTTACTACACACCTTACTACACACCTTCAGTACACACCTTACTTCACACCTTACTACACACCTTACTACACACCTTCAGTACACACCTTACTACACACCTTACTACACACCTTACTACACACCTTACTACACACCTTACTACACACCTTACTACACACCTTACTACACACCTTACTACACACCTTACTACACACCTTACTTCACACCTTACTACACACCTTACTACACACCTTACTACACACCTTACTACACACCTTACTTCACACCTTACTACACACCTTACTTCACACCTTACTACACACCTTACTACACACCTTACTACACACCTTACTTCACACCTTACTACACACCTTACTACACACCTTACTACACACCTTACTACACACCTTACTACACACCTTACTACACACCTTACTTCACACCTTACTTCACACCTTACTACACACCTTACTACACACCTTACTTCACACCTTACTACACACCTTACTACACACCTTACTTCACACCTTACTTCACACCTTACTACACACCTTACTACACACCTTACTACACACCTTACTTCACACCTTACTACACACCTTACTACACACCTTACTACACACCTTACTTCACACCTTACTTCACACCTTACTACACACCTTACTACACACCTTACTACACACCTTACTACACACCTTACTTCACACCTTACTTCACACCTTACTACACACCTTACTACACACCTTACTACACACCTTACTTCACACCTTACTACACACCTTACTACACACCTTACTACACACCTTACTACACACCTTACTACACACCTTACTTCACACCTTACTACACACCTTACTACACACCTTACTTCACACCTTACTACACACCTTACTACACACCTTACTACACACCTTACTACACACCTTACTACACACCTTACTTCACACCTTACTACACACCTTACTACACACCTTACTTCACACCTTACTTCACACCTTACTACACACCTTACTACACACCTTACTACACACCTTACTTCACACCTTACTACACACCTTACTACACACCTTACTTCACACCTTACTTCACACCTTACTACACACCTTACTACACACCTTACTACACACCTTACTACACACCTTACTACACACCTTACTACACACCTTACTACACACCTTACTACACACCTTACTACACACCTTACTACACACCTTACTACACACCTTCTACACACCTTACTACACACCTTACTACACACCTTACTACACACCCACTACACACCTTACTACACACCTTACTACACACCTTACTACACACCTTACTACACACCTTACTACACACCTTACTACACACCTTCAGTACACACCTTACTACACACCTTACTACACACCTTACTACACACCTTACTACACACCTTCAGTACACACCTTACTACACACCTTACTACACACCTTACTACACACCTTACTACACACCTTCAGTACACACCTTACTACACACCTTACTACACACCTTCAGTACACACCTTACTTCACACCTTACTACACACCTTACTACACACCTTACTTCACACCTTACTACACACCTTCAGTACACACCTTACTTCACACCTTACTTCACACCTTACTACACACCTTACTTCACACCTTACTTCACACCTTACTACACACCTTACTACACACCTTCAGTACACACCTTACTACACACCTTACTACACACCTTCAGTACACACCTTACTACACACCTTACTACACACCTTACTACACACCTTCAGTACACACCTTACTACACACCTTACTACACACCTTACTACACACCTTACTACACACCTTACTACACACCTTACTACACACCTTACTACACACCTTACTACACACCTTACTACACACCTTCAGTACACACCTTACTACACACCTTACTACACACCTTCAGTACACACCTTACTACACACCTTACTACACACCTTACTACACACCTTACTACACACCTTACTACACACCTTACTACACACCTTACTACACACCTTACTACACACCTTACTTCACACCTTACTACACACCTTACTACACACCTTACTACACACCTTACTACACACCTTCAGTACACACCTTACTTCACACCTTACTACACACCTTACTACACACCTTCAGTACACACCTTACTTCACACCTTACTTCACACCTTACTACACACCTTACTTCACACCTTACTTCACACCTTACTACACACCTTACTTCACACCTTACTTCACACCTTACTTCACACCTTACTACACACCTTACTACACACCTTCAGTACACACCTTACTTCACACCTTCAGTACACACCTTACTACACACCTTACTACACACCTTCAGTACACACCTTACTACACACCTTCAGTACACACCTTACTACACACCTTCAGTACACACCTTACTACACACCTTACTACACACCTTCAGTACACACCTTACTACACACCTTACTACACACCTTCAGTACACACCTTCAGTACACACCTTACTACACACCTTCAGTACACAGTGTGTATGAAAACAGGTAGAAAGACAAAAAGAAAAGTGTATGTTGTTTTGTGTTCATACAGGGGTACTTAATAACAGATTACCCCCCCCCCCCCCCCCCTCCATAGATCAGCCTGGATCCCTTGCCCCCTCTCTTGTCATTGGTCAGTCAATCCAACTTGCAGTGTGTAGTGTCTGGAGTTTACCTGCAGGGTGGCGACATGGTGCTCGACACCCGACATCTCAACAACAGCAGACTGGCTGGACCCCTCTACTGGAGACTGCCCGCACAATTTCAAGGCCACCAGGTAATGTCCCCAATCCTTTGACTGACAGGTCCTGAAGACACGGCTGTGCTTAACCCAATCCTTTGACTGACAGGTCCTGAAGACACGGCTGTGTTTAACCCAATCCTTTGACTGACAGGTCCTGAAGACACGGCTGTGCTTAACCCAATCCTTTGACTGACAGGTCCTGAAGACACGGCTGTGCTTAACCCAGTCCTTTGACTGACAGGTCCTGAAGACACGGCTGTGCTTAACCCAGTCCTTTGACTGACAGGTCCTGAAGACACGGCTGTGCTTAACCCAATCCTTTGACTGACAGGTCCTGAAGACACGGCTGTGCTTAACCCAATCCTTTGACTGACAGGTCCTGAAGACACGGCTGTGTTTAACCCAATCCTTTGACTGACAGGTCCTGAAGACACGGCTGTGCTTAACCCAATCCTTTGACTGACAGGTCCTGAAGACACGGCTGTGCTTAACCCAATCCTTTGACTGACAGGTCCTGAAGACACGGCTGTGTTTAACCCAATCCTTTGACTGACAGGTCCTGAAGACACAGCTGTGTTTAACCCACTCTGGGTATCTGTTTGATAGTTGTACTTGTGTATTATAAAGTGTTTCTGTTTTGTGTATATTGCGTAATAAGCTGTGTATTTTGTGTGTGTTATGTAGTTGTTGTCGTATGGTGGCCTGTTGTCTTACATCATCACTTTCTACGCTGAGGATGGCTCAGGAATGTCCAATCAGGAGCCTCAAGTCATGATAAGGGGCGGGACTCTGAGGAAGCTGGTGATATACACTGACATCGTCGCCCCTGGCAACGGTATCAGAACACAGCATGACATCATGATGACAGAGGTACGGCTGCAAGGAATTATAGGAAACAGAGCACCAACTATAATTTGTGGTTATTGTTATTAAAGTGTGTGTGTGTGTGTGTGTGTGTGTGTGTGTGTGTGTGTGTGTGTTACAGCACAACTGGAAGTACTTTAACTCGGTGTCGGAGGATTCGGTGACTCGCTCTGACTTCCTGTCAGTCATCAACAACATTGAGTACATCATAATCAAAGCATCATACGGGAGCAGACTGCAACAGAGCAGGTAACTACACAATGACACAAACTACACACAGGTACACATCATATCTGTCTTCAGCTGCTTGCTGATGTCACTTCCTGTCTGCACCTGTGTTCAGGATCTCTAACATCACCATGGAAACATCACTTGAGGCGGAGTCACTGGAGCGGTCAGAGATTGGAGTCAGCGTGGTCAGACATATCGAATCTTGCATCTGTCCAACTGGATACACCGGTTTGTCTTGTCAGGTAAGTCACCTGGATCACCATGGCAACCCCAGCAAGAGCTGTTTCTACTGGTTACCTGACTGTCTCTCTCTGACCTGTCTGTCTCTGACCCGTCTCTCGCTGACCTGTCTCTCTCTGACCTGTCTGTCTCTGACCTGTCTCTCTCTGACCTGTCTGTCTCTGACCTTTCTGTCTCTCTCTGACCTGTCTGTCTGTCTCTGACCTGTCTGTCTGTCTCTGACCTGTCTCTCTCTGACCTGTCTGTCTCTGACCTGTCTGTCTGTCTCTGACCTGTCTGTCTCTGACCTGTCTGTCTCTGACCTTTCTGTCTGTCTCTGACCTGTCTGTCTGTCTGTCTCTGACCTGTCTGTCTGTCTCTGACCTGTCTCTCTCTGACCTGTCTGTCTGTCTGTCTCTGACCTGTCTGTCTGTCTGTCTCTGACCTGTCTGTCTCTGACCTGTCTGTAGCTGACCTGTCTGTCTCTGACCTTTCTGTCTTTCTCTGACCTGTCTGTCTGTCTCTGACCTGTCTGTCTGTCTCTGACCTGTCTCTCTCTGACCTGTCTGTCTCTGACCTGTCTCTCTCTGACCTGTCTGTCTCTGACCTTTCTGTCTCTCTCTGACCTGTCTGTCTGTCTCTGACCTGTCTGTCTGTCTGTCTCTGACCTTTCTGTCTCTCTCTGACCTGTCTGTCTGTCTCTGACCTGTCTGTCTGTCTCTGACCTGTCTGTCTGTCTGCCTCTGACCTGTCTGTCTGTCTCTGACCTGTCTTTCTCTGACCTGTCTGTCTCTCTCTGACCTGTCTCTCTCTGACCTGTCTGTCTGCAGGAGTGTGCAGCAGGGTTTTTCCGTCAGCCTCTTTCTGAGCTCTCATCTCAGAGTTTGAAGTCCTTGTTTCTTCATCCATGTGTTCGATGTCGCTGCAACAACCACAGTGAGATCTGTGACACTGAAACCGGAGACTGTCAGGTAACAAGCTAACACACACTGATATACACTAACACAAACACACACAGATGTACACACTTACACAAACACACACACTGAAACACCTGTTCCATGAAGATGCTTAAAATTTACATTTAAATGAGGCTGTAGTCTGAGGGGAAATGAGCTAACACATGCTAACACTGTGTTGATGGGGGGTTTGTTAGTGGTTAATCTGTGATAAGTCATTTGATAATGAGCTAGTTTGTAGTTAGTAATCAATCAATCAATCTTTATTTGTATAGTACCAATTCATAAAAAGTTTTATCTCAAGATACTTTACAAAAAGCAGGTAAAAGACCTTACTCATTGTTATACTAAAGAACAGGTACAATTTGTTATTGGCTCTTTAAATTGTCATGTTAATGTGATATAAATAAAGGTTTATCTTTTCTTATCTTATCCAGGGCTGTAAACATCATACCAGTGGGCGGAGCTGTGAGCTGTGTGCCCCGGGGTATTATGGGAACGTCAGTGGCTCCATCAGTGATTGCTCCCTCTGTGCCTGCCCCATAAGGGACAACAGGTAACACTGCAGGCTGTTTAAATGTCACCTTTAAAGGAAGAATATGTGATTTTTCACACTTAAATGTAGCAGAAATCAAGAATATGAATTGAGGGACTAAAGAAAAAAAGAATAACATATTGTACTCAGTGATTATTTGAATGTCACGTAAGAGTTTTAGATCACGGTCATTTCAGGTAAATTTACCTGCAGTGTGAAGATACGAGCATAATAAAGATCGCTACCATTAGCATGCTAACACAACAACAGCGCGAGTTGTTTTGGTTTCATGCTGGTGCTCAAGGGCGACACCTGCTGGATCAAAACATTTCATATTCTTCCTTTAACATTTAGTTTGTTTAGTTGGTTCTAAGAGTGTGTTTGTGTGCCTGTGTGTGCCTGTGTGTGTGTGTGTGTGTGTGTTTGCGTGTGCCTGTGTGTGCCTGTGTGTGTGTTTGTGTGTGTGTGTGTGTTTGTGTGTGTGTAGTTTCAGTCCCACCTGTGTGTCAGAGGGAACATTGGGTGATTTCCGCTGCACTTCCTGTCTCGAGGGATACGAGGGGAGATACTGTGAGAGGTGAGAGTGATTACATCTTACCTGTCTCTTGTGACGTCACCAGCCTCATGTTGTCAGCTGACTGTTACATCATCACTTTATGCCATATTTACCCAATCATTGTAGCTTATCAGGTAATCTTTCTAAAAAACTGACTGTCACCGCCCCCCTGCAGGTGTTCGGTTGGTTACTATGGATACCCATCATTGCCCGGCGGTATGTGTTCACGATGCAATTGCAGTGGGTGGGGCTCCCTGCAGCTGCTATGTGATTCGCAGACAGGACAGTGTGACTGTAAGGCCGGGGTCAGAGGTCAGTCATGTGACCAGTGTGACGAGAGGCACATTCTTCAGGGAGAAGAGTGTGTGTGTAAGTCACAACAACTCACACACACACACACACACACACACACACACACACATACATATGTTCAGGTATTATGTCTAATTGCTAATTGGAGGTGTCTGTCTGTGTGCTTGTGTGTGTGTGTGTGTGTGTGTGTGTGTGTGTGTGTGTGTGTGTGTGTGTGTGTGTGTGTGTGTGTGTGTGTGTGTGTGTGTGTGTGTGTGTGTGTGTGTGTGTCGCCAGCCTGTGATGACGAGTGTTCTGGGGTTCTGTTGGACGATCTGGACAAAGTACACGACCATTTCCTGTCTGTGAACCTGAGCAGCATCACTATTGCAGCGTCAAGTCAGCTGGTGATGCTGGAGAAGCAGATCAGAGACTTTCAGGTACACACTCAGAAAAAACACGCACACACACTGAAATCTTCCTTCACCCAATAACAGCGTTTACCTGTCAGTCATGGTGGGCGGGGTCTCTGGGGGTCAGGAAATTACCTAAAAAAGTCAATGCATCAATCCAAGATGGCTGATGAAGTGAGTGAATTATTGTTACTAGATGCAATGTATAATTCAATAAACGAAGCCAGTAAAAGAGTGTACTGTTGAGCAGAATCCAGCTTCATCTTGTGCACAAAGATCATGCAGGTAGGTCACTGGTCATAGGATATCAACTTCATGCCAACACCCGCTTGCTTGCTTGCAGTGGATTTTCCTGACTCCTGAAAGTCTGGCTACACTCGTGGTGAGAATTTGAGCGTTTTGCATGAAGTCATGCTGTTCAGGGTTTACAGTGCCTATGTAAATGGGTTAATGACAGACTGTATAACACAATCACACCTCCCAACACTGCCCTCTAGAGTAGGGTGAAGTCTTAGCCATCTGCAGGGTTAGGATTTGGGTAATGTCCAGAGTAGGTTCTGATGAAACCAGGAAACCTTAAGCACAGATAAATAGGGTTATGATAAACAACAACCACCACTACAGCTACTAATAAAAACTTGTGCAAGTTAAGCTACATAACATTTAAAGTAACATTTTACCTGCTGGTGTTTTGTACAGGTGGTGTTTTCGAAAAACAATTCTATTTCCCTGGGTCTGTCCGGAGCGGAAGTTCAGCTAAATCATTTGACCTCTGACCTCAGTGATGTGCTACAGCAGGTATCCATGGTTACTCTGTCAAAAGATTATAACATAAAATGTATATTCTGTGATCATATGTTCTCAAAAACATAAAACTGCCTAATAATCATTATTGGTAAATTATTCATAAATATTACATAAATAACACAGTATCATCTGTAAACATAGATTATAACATGTAGAACACAGTATCATCTGTAAACATAGATTATAACATGTAGAACACAGTATCATCTGTAAACATACATTATAACATATAGAACACAGTATCATCTGTAAACATACATTATAACATGTAGAACACAGTATCATCTGTAAACATACATTATAACATATAGAACACAGTATCATCTGTAAACATACATTACAACATGTAGAACACAGTATCATCTGTAAACATAGATTATAACATGTAGAACACAGTATCATCTGTAAACATACATTACAACATGTAGAACACAGTATCATCTGTAAACATAGATTATAACATGTAGAACACAGTATCATCTGTAAACATACATTACAACATATAGAACACAGTATCATCTGTAAACATACATTACAACATGTAGAACACAGTATCATCTGTAAACATAGATTATAACATGTAGAACACAGTATCATCTGTAAACATACATTACAACATATAGAACACAGTATCATCTGTAAACATAGATTACAACATATAGAACACAGTATCATCTGTAAACATAGATTACA